AGGTTTGGGAGGGAGTGACTTGCAGAACTTTGAATTCTGCTTGGAGAAAATTGTGGCCACAATGTGTACAAGAGAGGGATTTTGGAGGGTTTGAGGGGTGCCCTTAAGGAGCCTATGTCAGTTGTGGAAAGTATTATGTCACTGGGGAATTCCATGGGGTTGGATGTGAGTTTCAAGGATGTGGAAGAGTTGGTGGAGGACCATGATGAAGAGCTAACCACTACAGAGCTGCAAGAGCTTCATCTGCTACAGCATGAGACCACAGCACAGGAAATTGCTACAGAGGAGGAGGAAGAGAGATGGAGGAAGGTGCCTTCTTCAAAGATTAAGGGTATTTGTGCAAAGGGGACTGAGGTGCAATTATTTATGGATAAACTTCACCTTGACAAAGCTGCTGCAGGCCATGCTGGCAACACGTACAATGACAGTGCTGTGTCCCACTTCAGACAGAAACAGAGCTCTCTGAACAGATATTTTGTGCGCAGGGGTCCAGTGACTCAAGTTGTTCCCAGTGTCATTAAAGAACAAAGAAGGGAAGTAACCCCAGATAAGGAGTTGGTACCTGAAGTCTTTAGGGGAGGAGACTCCCCTTCCAAACAACAGTGTACACATTCCTCCTATCCCCTCTTCCCGTCTTTCATCCACCCAGAAGTCTTCAGTAAAGGTAAGTGTAATGTTATTACATATTTTATAGAACAGTGGACCCTCGACCAACGATGACACTGACTAATGATAAAATCAGGTAATGATGTGTTTTTGGGTAAAAATATTGGCTCGACTAACGATGAAAAACTCGAGTAAGGACATTCGTCTTGAATGCATCCGCCTGTCCGTCCAGTTCGAGCACCTCAGCTGCCCTGCCTTCAGCTAGTGTGCCATTGTTTAAAAGCCAGGGTGGACAGTTCCATGCATACATGCGATACATTTTGTATTATTCCATTGTTTTTAGTGATTGTAACTGCTAAATAAGCCACCATGGGCCGAAAAAAAGCTTCTAGTGCCAACCCTGTGGTAAAAAGGGTGAGAAATGCTATCGAAATATTATTGTAACATGGTCAGCTGTTGCTGCACCACCGTCAGCTGTTGTACCACCGTCAGCTGCTGCTGTACCATGGTCAGCTGCTGCTGTACCACCGTCAGCTGCTGCTGTACCACGGTCAGCTGCTGCTGCACCACGGTCAGCTGCTGCTGTACCATGGTCAGTTGCTGCTGTTGCTGCACCACCGTCAGCTGCTGCTGCTACACTGTCAGCTGGTGCTGCATCACTGTCAGCTGTTGTTGCACCACCATCAGCTGCTGCTGTACCATGGTCAGCTGCTGCTGCTGCACCACTATCAGCTGTTGCTGTACCATGGTCAGCTGCTGCTGTTGCTGCACCACCGTCAGCTGCTGCTGTACCACCGTCTGCTGCTGCACCACGGTCAGCTGCTGCTGCACCACCGTCAGCTGCTGCTGCACCACCGTCAGCTGCTGCTGCACCACCGTCAGCTGCTGCTGCACCACCGTCAGCTGCTGCTGCACCACCGTCAGCTGCTGCTGCACCACCGTCAGCTGCTGCTGCACCACCGTCAGCTGCTGCTGCACCACCGTCAGCTGCTGCTGCACCACCATCAGCTCCTGCTGCACCACCGTCAGCTGCTGCTGCACCACCGTCAGCTGCTGCTGCACCACCGTCAGCTGCTGCTGCACCACCGTCAGCTGCTGCTGCACCATGGTCAGCTGCTGGTGCATCACCATCAGCTGTTGCTGTACCACCATCAGCTGCTGCAGTTGCTGCACCACAGCCAGCTGCTGCTGCTGCTGCACCACTGTCAGCTACTGCTGTACCACAGTCAGCTGCTACTGCTGCTGCACCACTGTCAGCTGCTGCTGCACCACTGTCAGCTACTGCTGTACCACAGTCAGCTGCTACTGCTGCTGCACCACTGTCAGCTGCTGCTGCACCACTGTCAGCTACTGCTGTACCACAGTCAGCTGCTACTGCTGCTGCACCACTGTCAGCTGTACTACTCTAAGATGTGCAGAGAGTGTTGGTGTGGCTTAAGAAACAATTACGAAGAAACAATTAACCCCAGAGGGTTAGCAACCCAGGATAACCCAAGAAAGTCAGTGCATCATCGAGAACTGTCTAACTTATTTCCACTGGGGTCCTTAACTCTTAAATGGTCCAAACGTATATATACGTTTTTTCAACATCTGAACATATGTAAAAAAAAATGTAGATGATCTTTTTTGTTTTACATATGAAAATGTGTAAAAAAAACTTTTATCTACATTTTTTTTGTTATATTTGAAAATATGTAAAAAAAAGTAGATCTACTTTTGGAGCACTATGAATTTGAACATCGATCTGTTTGGACCGTTTAAGGGTTAATTTTGTCCCCCAGGATGCAACCCACACCAGTCGACTAACACCGAGGTGAGCAGGAAAAAATGCCTGGAACTAGTGCTCATATTGGTGAATTTCAGACCAGCAAAGGTTGGTTTGGGAGATTTAAGAATCGTAGTGAAGTGAAGCCTTTACTCATGTATCACACTGAAAATCCCAGTGTGTTCAAGAAAAACAGTGTCTTGTCACTCATCAATACTCTTCAATAAACCTAAGTGTCATTTTAGTATTTATGTATTTATTGTGCATGTCTCGTTTTCTTTGTAGGGAAATGTATATTTAATGTAAAATTTTTTTTAATACTTTTGGCTGTCTGGAACGGATTAATTGGATTTCCATTATTTCTTATGGGGAAAATTAATTTGGCTAACGATGAATTCTACTAAGGACAAGCTCTCTGGAACGGATTAAAAACATAGGTCGAGGGTCCACTGTATATGTAGTACTTGATTTCTCATTGTTTTCTGTATGCAAATCTTTATTTAACCCCTTGACTGTCACAACCCCAAATCCTGAGGTGTCTCCTGGTGTCACAAAATTAAAAAAAAAAAAAAAAAAAAAAAAAAAAAAAAAAAAAAAAAAATCTCATGAAATGATAGAGAATCTTTTTCCGATTGTAATGACACCAAAAGAACGAAATTTGGTGGAAAACTGACGGAATTACATTCTCGCGAAGTTAGCGACCTCAGCAATATTTATGAATCGGAGATTTCGCCCACTTTGAGCCCTATTTTCGGCTAATTCCATTGTTCCAGTCAACCAAACTCGCAGCTATTTCTTTAGAACTCCATTTTTTGTATCAATTGAGCACAAGAAACTGCCTATTTACCGATTTCAATTACCCAATAACGTGGTCAGAAATTTGCAATTTGGCCAATTGCATGAAAATTTAAAAATATGACAATTTCAAAATAGGGTCCAGAATGAACAATGCAGACATTCCTGGCTCTAAAATAACATTTTCTTTGTTCATCAGTCATGTCTCCAGGCCTCTATGATATTACTCTTGTTTTCTATTTTGAATTTTTATTCAAACAAAAAATAGAAGATTTACTGTTATGCAGACTACTGCAATACTGTAATATGTAATTGTATAAATAATGTCAATCCATTCATGACTGCATATCAGAATGGCTACTTGGACATTTGTTGGAAAATGACATCATTTGTTTACTCTTGAACATAGGCAAAAATCAAACATTTCCCCTACTTTGAGCTCCATTTCAAGGTTCTTTTCATAGTAAAACCAATCAAAATCACCTGCATTTCTATAATATGTTTTCCATTCTATCAAATGAGACCAAGAAAACGAGAATACACCCATAAATACTATACGAAAATAGACCACAAAGTCGGCATTTTAATTAAAAAAAAAACCATGGTCGGAGGTATTTTTTTTCTCATTATGCACTGCGTGCTGCAGGATTTTTTTTATATGGTGCACACTGACCACACAGACCCATTCTCTCACATGTGGGCCTACCAGCTCTCTCCTGCTCGAGTTGAAGCCACTAGAATTGAAGAGTATATATACATCAAAAACGGTGGCTCATAAGACGTATATATACGACCAAAACAGTCAATAGTTTATTGGATTTTTTCTTTTTTTTTAATATTTTTGGGTGTCTGGAACGGATTAATTTTATTTCAGTTATTTCTTATGGGGAAAATGGTTTCACCATTCAGCAATTTCATCATTCGGCAGATTCTCTGGAAAGGATTAATCACGAAACTCGGGGGTCCACTGTATTTGTTTAAAAGAAATATGATTTGCTTATTATTAAAAAAACAATAAATAGTCCCATGATACAAGAGAATTTACTACCGTGGAACCTCGGTTTTCGTTTGCCATTTTTCGTCGACTTTTTGTCAAAATTCTGTCCCAGTTTTCGTTCATCACCTTGGTTTTCGTCGAGTCGACAGTGGTCCACTGTACCAAATGTGTCCACCTACCGGTGCCTACACAAAGCATCCCATGCATTCTGAGTCAGACTGGCTTTGTTTCTCATCGAGTGAGCATTATCCTGTGTGTTTATCTGAAATGTTCATAATAATCCATTGCTTTTTGTGCTTGTTTATTGAGCACGACTGCTAAATAAGCCACCATGGGGCCAAAGAAAGTAGTGATGGTGGTAGAGGGTGGTAGTGATTGTGGTAGTGGGTGGTAGAGGGTGGTTGTGATGGTGGTTGTGGTTGTAATGGTGGTAGTGATTGTGCTAGAGGGTGGTAGTGATTGTGGTAGAGGGTGGTAGTGATGGTGGTAGAGATAACTTCTTCTCCTCCTCCTCCTCCCCCCCTTCCCTCCCTGTTATCTTCCATACGCCAACAAGAGCCTTCAAAAAAGGTAAAAGTGATGTTAAATGTTCATTTATCCATTTCATTAGTCTTTTATATTTCTCATTGTTTTTTGTAAAACTATAGTTATTCTCTATAAAATGTATTTTTTGTTAATACTTTTGGGTGTCTCAAAAGGATTAATTGGATTTACATTATTTCTTGTGGGAAATACTGCTTCAATTTTTGCCGAATTTGGTTTTCGTCAGGCTTTGTGGAACGAATTAATGACGAAAACCGAGGTTCCACTATATCTAAATAAATTATAATTACTAACCTTTCTTTTCAGATGTAGTTAAATCATTATTCACCTCATTGAATATAATTTTGAAGTCAAGGAGATGTGATCTGTAATCCACCTGATACAACTGGAGAGCCATGTGTACATAGTTACTGGTAACAGGGTTCTTCCGGCGGACACGTACATAGAAAGGATTAACTACCTTCCATTCCTGTGGTAAATATACACCAACTGAGTTTCTACCTAACTACCGTAGCATTGAAGATTGAGACACTTATGCAACATATGGGAATCTTTATAATAAAGATTCCCATATGTTGCATAAGTGTCTCAATCTTCAACTTGTCGGTTTTTCAAACCATTCATCACTACCGTGGCATTATATATATATTTTTTTTTTGGCAAAATAGTTACAAGTGTTAATCACCATGAAAATTACTGTGAAAATATATCGACAAAAATTATCACATACGGCATAATGACAAAATATTTTGAAACTTGATCTAATCAATCACTATTAACCAATGTATAGCACATTTTGCCAATAATATTGACAAAACATTTGCAGCAATGTGTTGAACATACCAACTTTTACTCTAATCAAACCAGAGTTTGTGTAAACATCCAAAACATGGTAAAATATTTAAATATATTTACTATTAAATGATAGATAGTTTGACAAAGTGCTGTGAGTAGTGGTAGCATACTTACAAAGCCAAGAACCTTCATAGCCTTATAAACCTCGCTCATGATGTCCAGGGGTTTACTCTGGGAGCGGATACCTGTGCAGTAAAGCAACAAACTTTTAATTGTTTAACCATTTTATAAATCAATATGAGAAAAGGGAAATCCAACAAGTTTAAAAAAAGATGTGTAATTACTTATTTGTGATAATCTATTTGTAGTAAGAAACAGCTATACCTGTGGTATCTTTTTTTTCAGTATTTAATTTGCCATTTATTTTAAGAGCTTCCAGGAGTTGTAACAAGTACATCTCCTCCTTGATGCTATTCCAGCTCTCACCTACTGTTTACTGATCCCCCTAATGTACCCAAAAATTTATCCCTCCACTATCATACCCCATAAAATTAATAATGCTGACAGTGTTGAGAGAGGAGAGAAAAAAAAAAAAAAAAAAAAAAAAAAGTTCCTTCTGAAATAGTAGATAAACTTTTTTACTATAAGTAATGGCACCAAAAATGCTAAATTTGATAAAAAAAATTATGAAATTAAGCAGGCACAAATTTGGCATTCTGGGAATAATTTACACATCAGCGATTTTGCCCATGACTTTTACTTTAAGCCAAATCCATTGCTCAACTTAAGCAAATTCTTAGATATTTCGCTAATATGCCTTCCATTCTATTGACCAAACACAAGATTATGCCCATTCAACTATCAAAGCAACCCAATAAAGTGCACAAGTCAGTAATTTGGCCAACTTCACATAAAATTCAACAAATTTCAATTTAAAAAAAGGGTTCAAAATTAGCACTAGGTATTCCGAAAAAAAAAGAAAAATGTCTAGAAATGACACATTATTATTACTATTATACTGTATTATTATTCTTAGTATGTATTATAATTACATACGTATTATTATTATTAACCCTTTGACTGTTTCCAACGTATAAATACGTCTTATGAGCCAATGTTTCTGACGTATTTATACACACAAATTCTAGCAGCTTCAAATCAAGCAGGAGAAAGCTGGTAGGCTCACATGTGAGAGAATGGGTCTCAATGGTCAGTGTGCACCATATAAAAAAAATTGGGGAGCCAGTGGTGCATTGTGGGAATGCCATTTCAGTTGTCCTTTTTCAGCATGTCTAGAGGTAAGAAATATGTGATTCCCCAGCAAATCTGGGACTCTTCTCTTCCCAAGTGATGCTCTAACACAGATGGAAGTGTCAGTGAAGATCAATTTCATGATTTGGAGGAGTTTGAGACCAAAAGCAATGGAAGAAGAAGAAGAAGAAGAAGAAGAAGAGAAGAAGAAGAAGAAGAAGAAGAAGAAGAAGAAGAAGAAGAAGAAGAAGAAGAAGAAGAAAGAAGAAGAAGAAGAAGAAGAAGAAGAAGAAGAAGAAGAAGAAGAAGAAGAAGAGAAGAAGAAGAAGAAAGAAGAAGAAGAAAGAAGAAGAAGAAGAAGAAGAAGAAGAAGAAGAAGAAGAAAAGAAGAAGAAGAAGAAGAAGAAGAAGAAGAAGAAGAAGAAAGAAAAGAAGAAAAAAGAAAAAAGAAAAGAAGAAAGAAGAAAGAAAGAAGAAGAAGAAAAGAAGAAAAAAAGAAAAGAAGAAAAGAAGAAAAGAAGAAAAGAAGAAAAGAAGAAAAGAAGAAAAGAAGAAAAGAAGAAAAGAAGAAAAGAAGAAAAGAAGAAAAGAAAAGAAGAAAAGAAAAGAAGAAAAGAAAAAAGAAAAGAAAAGAAGAAGAAAAAAAAGAAGAAAAAAGAAGAAAAAGAAGAAAAAAAGAAGAAGAAAAGAAAAAAAGAAGAAAAGAAGAAGAAAAGAAGAAGAAAAGAAGAAGAAAAGAAGAAAAGAAGAAAAGAAAAGAAGAAAAGAAGAAGATTTTTCCCTTGAAGCAAGAAAAAAAAAAGTCCACCCCATGACAGTGACAAGATAAGGGGAGATAACATCTGATAAGAGCTGACTTTGATGAGCATAAAGGAGGGTGGAGCTGACCAGGAAATATTAGATGACCATCCCCCTCCCTTTGTTTTTGGTGGTACACAAACATTTCTGTCTGTCTATTTGTCTGTCTCTCAAGCTCCCTGTCTGTCCATCTAGCTCTCTGTCTCAGAGAGCCACAAGACTGTGTCATCATCACGTTTACTCACATCTTCAAGCTGAGTATAGCACTTTGTCTGGATTTTTTGGGTTATCCTAGGTAATTTACACTATGTATACTTGTATTTATGTGTTCCTGTGAGACAGAGATAGACAGACAGAGAGAAAGAGAGACAGATTGAAAGATATAGAATGAGGGAGAAAGATAATTAGATAGAATGGAGGGTAAGCAGCATCCGACCCCACTGTTTTGACAGGCGGTAGGGGGAGTGACTAATGAGACAATATGTCACTTTGACAGCTGCCGACTCCTGACTCAAAACAATTATAAACCACACACTCGCACACAAAACGAGGAGGAGGAGGAGGAGGAGGAGGGAGGAGGAGGGAGGAGGGAGGAGGGAGGAGGGAGGAGGAGGAGGGAGGAGGAGGAGGAGGGAGGAGAGGAGGAGGGAGGAGGAGGAGGAGGGAGGAGGAGGGAGGAGGAGGAGGAGGAGGAGGAGGAGGAGGAGGGAGGAGGAGGAGGGAGGAGAGGAGGGAGGAGGAGGAGGAGTGAGGAGGAGGAGGAGGAGGAGGAGGAGAAGGAGGAGGAGAAGGAGGAGGAGAAGGAGGAGGAGAAGGAGGAGGAGAAGGAGGAGAAGAAGGAGGAGAAGAAGGAGGAGAAGAAGGAGGAGAAGAAGGAGGAGAAGAAGGAGGAGAAGAAGGAGGAGAAGAAGGAGGAGAAGAAGGAGGAGGAGAAGAAGGAGAAGGAGAAGAAGGAGAAGAAGGAGAAGAAGGAGAAGGAGAAGAAGGAGGAGGAGGAGAAGGAGGAGGAGGAGGAGGAGGAGGAGGAGGAGGAGGAGGAGGAGGAGAAGCCACAAGATTGCGTCATCAGGAAAGTAGGATGGAAGGAATGACACACGACCATTTACCTAGGATAACTACATAACACAACTGCCTGCTAATACTTTGCAGAAAACTGCTCGGACGAGGTGTTTTGTCTTTGTACATAAAAAAAAAAAGTCCACAAAAATGCACACACACTGGTTTTGTGTGTGAGGAGTGTAAAACACCATTGTGTATGACACCATGTTTCACAGAGTTCCACAAGCTACAGAACTTCTAGGAATATGTTCAGTGACTGTATATTGGTATATATATTATAGAACAATAGTAATAAACAATTTTTTGTATTGTTTGTTTTTGTAAACAAGTTTTGTAAACAATATATTGATAATTATGTTTGTGTGCTTATTGTGTTGTATACGAGTGTATATATGTACATTGCACCTTACTTTGGTCTCATAGGCCACATAAGTCATGTGAAAAAATAAAATAGTGAAAAAAACAAAAAACCTTCAAATACAAGTAAACTAAAGTTTACCGGATGAGTGGCAGTCGCGGCTGTTGCCATATGCGGCTCATTTTCTGCAAACTTCACGGCTCTATATCTCGGTAAGTACTGATGGCAAAAAAAATTTTTTTTTTTTTGGACTAAAACACTCAGAAAAATAATCTTAACATTTTCATAAGAAAAAATAATTTTTTTTTTCGAATATTTGGCGACATAGAATGACAGTTTCAGAGAGGGGCCTGAAACAGTCAAAGGGTTAATTTAGGGAACTGGAGCACAGATCCAATTCCATAGACCAAGAGCCCATCACCATGTACATACTAATAATAATAATACAGTGGACCCCTGGTTCACGATATTAATCCGTTCCTGAGAGCTCGTCGTAAACCAAAATTACCGGAAAGCGAATCAATATTCCCCATAAGAAATAATGGAAATCAAATTAATCCGAGAAAGACACCCAAAAGTATGAAAAAAAAAACCTTTACCACATGATATATTAAGTTTAATGCAATATAATAATTACAATAACAATAATAACAATAGAATAATCACAATAGAATAATTGACACTTACCTTTAATGAAGATCTGGTGATGATTGATGGGATGGGAGGAGAGGAGTGTGTGGAAGTTTTTAATGTTTAGAAGGGGAATCCTCCTCCATTAGGACTTGAGGTAGCAAGTCCTTTTCCGGGGTTACTTCCCTCCTCCTTTTAATGCCACTAGGACCAGCTTGAGAGTCACTGGACTTCTGTCGCACAACATATCTGTCCATGGAGGCCTGTACCTCTCGTTCCTTTATGACTTTCCTAAAGTGGTTCACAACATCGTCAGTGCACAGGTTGCCAACACGGCTTGCAGTAGCTGTGTCAGGGTGATTTTCATCAAAAAAGGTTTGCACTTCAAGCCACTTTGCACACATTTCCTTAAATTCAATAGTCATTAGCACCCTTGGTCTCGATGGTTTGGCACTAGAAGCTTTCTTGGGGCCCATGGTGACTTATTTTGCAGAAACAAGCACCAAAAACAGTGATAATATGGATAATATAGAATGTACCGAATGTATCCTTAGATGCGCGCACACTGGCTGGCTTGTAAACACTGGACACGTCTTGTACAAATCGTATCGCATACAGGGTTTTGTAACGGGAACCGAGGCAAATTTTTTGCGATATAATGCTTCGGATACCGGATTTATCGGATACTGATGGCTTTGCGAACTGGGGGTCCACTGTAATAATAATAATAATAATAATAATAATAATAATAATAATAATAATAATAATAATAATAATAACAACAACAGTAAGAAGAAACTTAAAAAGGCTGCCAGTAGTTGGCACCACCATCAGCAAAAATATTGGTAACTACCATTAGTACACTTTTCACCTGTTTAGACTTAACCCTTTGACTGTTGTAAGCCCCTTTCTGAAACTGTCATTCTATGTCGCAAAATTTTTGGAAAGAAAAAAAAAAATTATTTTTTCTTATGTAATGATAGAGAATCTTTTCCCGGTGGTAATGACACCAATAGTGCAAAATTTGGTTGAAAACTCATGGAATTACGCTCCTGCAAAGTTAGTCTCAGCAACATACACGCATCGGCAATTTTGCCGACTTTGAGCCCTGTTTTTGGCCAATTCCGTTATTCCAGTTGACCAAACTCA